GACGCGGCGCCCTTCGAGGCCGCCACCTCGCCCGGCGCGGGGAGGAGGGGGAGGGAGTGCGCTGGGGCTGGGAGGGGGCCGGGAGGGAGGGGGAGCGCTGGGGGGTAGGACGGCCCCCAGCTCCCGAGCGGGCGTGGCCTCGGCCGTCACCGTGTACGCGGATGCTGCGCGGCTCCGGGGGCTGCTCGCGGCCGTCTGCTCATCCGCGGCGGGCACCGGCGGGACGCGGCGCCCTTCGAGGCCGCCACCTCGCCCGACGCCCGGGGCCCGTCCGACCTGGGCTGTTCTCCAGTGCCGCGCGGTGGGGGTTCCGGCGGGTTTGGAGTGGGTGTCTGAGCCGGTCCCCGGAGCTGCACAGGAAAAAATGAATGGGGACGAGCGGGATAGGCTGGGCAATGGGAGGGCGAGGGGACTTGCAGTCGCGTATCCAGAGGGCCGCGTCCTCCCCCTGGGGAGCCGCACAGAGTTGGCCGCCCGGGTTTGCAGCGCCGGGCTCTCGGGCGGGCGATCTCGACATCCGCTCAGCTGCTTGGGTAGAGCGTCCCCTCCGAGGGCCACTGGGCGCGGAAAGGCCGGAGGCTCATGGGAGAGGTCCTTACGCCCAGCCTGGCGGGTCCCCACCGCGGCGCAGGCCCCCACTGCGCTGTTAAGAAATGAACCACTTGGAAGTAGGGCACCACAGCCTCCAGCCCATATTTTTTTTCTTTCTTTTCCCTTCCGTTCCTTCTCTTTCTCCCTCCCTCTCTGTTTCTCCCTCTCTCTCTCTTCCACCCCTCTCTCCCTCTCAGGGTGTCTCTCTCTCGTGCGTCTCTGCAAGTAACAGCTTTACCCTGTGACCCAGCGCGCACTCTTGTCACCGTGCCCTGGATTTACCCCAAAAGCATTAGGCTGAATGGGTGCTGCTGGGAGCGCAGGGTCCCACGTGCGGTTCCCCTTCCCCCGGAGCGGGGACGCTCTTGCCACGCCACAGCCGGCCCCTCACCACCCCTCCCGGATGCACTCTTTCCCCACCACTTCCCTGCGCGAGTCTTGTCTCCCGGGAGCGGTGCCAGCTCACTCTGCGCTCACACACCTCCTCTTTGCGCCGCTCTATCCACGCCCCAGACCTTTGTCAGCTCGCCCCTCTGTTCCTCTGTCCGGATAGGGACATCGGAGTGTACGGTTTAATGAGACTTCTGTGAAACACACAGCCCCGGACCCCTGAACCCGCTGCGGGGGACACAATGACGTTCCCCGCTTCGCTTTCTCGCGCGGCGACACTTCGTAATTACCCGACACAAAGCAATGTGGGGGTGTCCATAGCTCCATTGCTTGTTACCGTGGAGTGCTCATTGTGACAGTGGTGAAACTTAAAATTACATAATTTTTTGAAGTACTGAAAAGATAGAATGAATTCGGCGTGGGGATATGAGTAAGCTTCCCATTAAAATCTCAGTTTGGCCTGTCAAGAGGCTCATTCAGGGTGTTACTTTATCTAATTTGCATTTTAGCATTGTTTGGTGTCCTACGAGTCAAATTTAGAGATCTATGGGAGCGTACTCGACAGGGCTGAGCATCTCCACGTTGCTTGTTTTGCACTGTAGCATTATTTTTGTTTCGTTAACGCCAAATTACAAAAACTTGGGAGTGTTTCCAATGAATAGGGTGGGAAGCCGCATCCCTCACCGCGTGGTGCGATGGATTCCGGGAGAACCAGGTCAGAGACAGCCGAGTTGAGGCTAGCTCAACCCCTACAAGGGATCTGCACAAAAATGCCTTGGGGGAAAAAATCTAAAATCCTGTGGCGGCTATCCCAGATACCCAAAAGTCAAAAGAGAATTGATGAGGTTTTAGAGAGCTTAGTGCAGAAAGGGGGTCCTCTATTTAAGATTTCTCCAGTAGCCTCTGCGACGGTATCCAGGTATACACAGGCTGGTACTGCAGACAGAAGTAGCCCACGGAGGACCTGCGAAGCACCCAGTACTAAAGGATGCCAGGAGGAGACCAAACCTGTTGCACTGGCTCCCTGCCCACCCCTGAAAAGAAAATGCCTCGAGTGAATGAATGAAGAGTGAGTGAGTGAGTGAGTGAGTGAGCACTTCACCTCCAGGAATAGCACCCTAATGCAGTTGCCTGGAGGAAGAGGGACTCCTTGGTTTTTCTATCTGAATTTCCTCCATAACATCTTATAAATAATAGGTGGATTGGAGTTGGTTTCTTTTCTCTGTGGTTTTATCATTTTGATCTTTAAAGGATTGCAAGACAACTTTTCTTGACTTTTGAAACGTGTGTGGAAGACTGTGGAAACATGTTGTAAAGTGTACACAAAGAGATTTTTTTTTTTTTTTTGCCTTCTGGAAACATATTTAAGTCCTCTCTGTTTCCTTTGGTGCCAGAATCCCTACAATTGAGTCACTGTTTTTCGGCTGATATCAAATAACAAGTTATATACCCCAAGTCCTAAGATACAGTTTCATAAGTTAAGAATAAAATAAACAGAAAGGGTGAAATGTAGTCCAGAGTTACATTTAGAGGTAGCTAGCTATACTTCCTTTAAAGAAAATTACTTACTCTGCAATGATTCAGGCAGGCATTTAATCAAAATAAAATTAATCAGCTACCTGTTTCTCCACAGGCTTTACCCTCCAGAAAAGTGAGGTGAGGAGGCTGCATTGCAATTCACAATGCATCTCTGGGGTGACAGAATAAAGGCTCCTAAAGAATGTGTGAGGAAATTTTAGTCTTGAATAAACTTCAGAGTTCATTATTGTTGCACTATGTTAGTAATAACATAGATTATTTCAAATATAGTATAGATAAACACAATAACAATAAGAGTTGTTGCTTTATGAATATGGAGTAGCATGAACCCAGTAACATTCCCTGGATCACTGCAGACAGTCTGTAATATATAACCCTGTACTGATAGGAGCAATTGTATACTTTCTCAGAAGAGTCAGTTTCTTGCTAATATGACTTACCAATATAGTCCTCAACTGCCAGCATGCACACATACACACACACACACACACCTGGACAGAAGTTTTCAGCTTTCCCTTTATTACTGCCAGTCACTGCGATAGATGACATAGGACTGACCCTCATACATTCTTTGGGCATATTTTTGTGACTTTTAGACTTTAAGGATGTTCTTGATGTTGATTCCAGCCTGCTTCACCTAGAAAATACTAGATGGATGACTAATCTGCCTTGAGCCTCTAGAATTATTTCAAGAAACGGTACTTAGAGGCTTAGTCGTCATGCCTTATAAGGAATTAATATTTGCTGATTGAGTCATCTGATCTCATAACAGATTTACAAATTTTCTGTATATCAGTTATATATGTGTGCATACTTCTGTGCATAATGATATACAGAAAATTAATAGTTTTCTGTATATTATTTGAAATTAATAGTCATCTTGAACAAATTTTGTCATCTAACCAAATATGGATATAAAAATATGTGGAATACTGGTTATATACAGAAAACAAAGGTTTTGTGTATATATTTTTAAATTAATGCTCATCTTGAACAAACTGTGATCTAACCAAATATACACACAAAAATATGTGAAATAATTGCTATGCTGAATATGCTGTAAGAAATAGCTTGTTCAATATTCACAGACCCCGATGAGGCAGCTTCTACTGCTAGCTTCATTTCACAGATGAAGAGACTGAGTCTTACACCAGCGACATTTCTAAGTCACAAGCTAGCAAGTATTGGCACTTGAATTTTAGTCCAAGTCTAGATTTGAAGCTCTTGACAGTATGATAATGTGCCTTAATGAATTCATTTTAAAACAAACTATTTTTTTCTAATCTGAGACTCATGTTTTGCACATTTTAACATTTCTGAGATTATAATATATTTTAAAATATATTCCTAAAATTATAAATTTTATACATATCCACATAATAGCACGTTTTCCAGCCAACAGTATATCGCATTATGCTGCAAATCATCAGGAAAACTCAGGGACCCAAAACAACAAAGGTTTATACTTCTTGCTCAGACAAAGTCTGCTGAAGTGCTGTGTGAATTTCCAGAGCAACTTTCCCCCTTGTGTTGATTTGGCACAGCATGTACTTCCACAGTCACTGATGTAGCAGGGGTTGGAGTCCTAAGGCTCACACACCAGAGAGTAATGCTCTAATCTGGCAGTAATATGTGGCACTTTTGCTTCCAATCCATTCTCTAGTATTAGTCAGATGGTTCTCCCTAACTGCTAGGGAAGCTGGGAAGTATAATCCTCCCATGTTCCACAGGAAATCTATTTACACATGAGCACTTAACATTTATGCCACAAGCCATCAGGTCTTTGAGATATGGTCACTAGGATCAGTTAATGTAAATATCAGGACTCTACTTTATTCAAAATCAGTGATCAGTAATTGGCCTGTATTTTGTTAAATTCTATCCAAAACATATATTTTTTAAAGATTTGTTTATTTATTCATGCAGAACTGGGGTAGAAGCCAGAGGTGCAGGGGTGGTAAGAAGCTTCACCAGAGACAGAGTGTGAAGCAGAACAGGCAGATCAACGAAGTACACTGCTGAGGGGAGCAG